CTGTTTTAGATTGTTGCCCTGTTAAAACCTGATAAAGATCCGTGCATAGAATGCAATGATTTGTCCAAAGTTCTATTTTAAGTTCATCTACGCCAATGACATTTTCCTTGGCAGCAAATAACAGGTCCTGTTTTGCCGTCAGTGAGATCATCGCATTTGTGTTGGTAATTGTATCTGTACCCTACAGCTGAAAACTTCAAAATCAGCTGTGTCAGTTTTCCATCTCCATAATGCTTTTCTTACTTGGGAACTCAATTCCTCCCTCAATGGGCACCCACTGAAACACGAAGTATATTTTGTTTATTTCAGCATCATCTTACCAAGATAAGCTGATTGAAGAGACTTCCCAAAAGCAAAACATATAACAACCTATTTCACAAGCTTTCCAGATTTACGTAGAGATCTAGCAACCTGAATATCTAACTACAGTCTCTGCTACTTGGCAGTACAATGTTGTACCCCTGACTGGGCCCAGCCCCCCTGCATTAGGAGGACTGATTTGCAGCCCCATTTCACCAAGCATTTCCTGTCACAGCTAACACCTTGACCCAAGCCGCTAGTACTGTGTAACACTGCTTCATCAGAACTCAATGTGAAAACTTGTCAAACAAAACAGTAGCAAAGTCAAAAGCTCAGCTGACCTCCTGCTGTATCTGAATCCACTTATCCCTCTTCCAGTTCATCACAAATCCCAATATCCCTCGTGTTTAGTTTTACTGCATCATTACCAGTGCTTACTTGTTGGGAGAGTAATAAGTCCTAAACACTAACTAGCCCGTCACTTTTTTTTTTTTTTAAATCAAAAACCCTACTTACCATTCAGGCACAAGGGTCTGATCTACCTTGTTACTTCTGGGTCTTTTTGAATTATTTATCAAATTTCCTCAACTATCTCTTCAACCCACCTCTCTCAGCAGTTCAACATTCCTTTCCTCCACCTTTCCCTAATCTCTGTATTTAGATGAAATCATTCCTTTCTATTTCTTCATTTCAGAATTAATCAGTTAATTGAGTTCTCTGAGAATTTCATTCAAGGTTGAAAACACAGGGACAGGGACCTTTCAATGTTCCATAAAATGAGAGAACAGACAAGAAAGTCTTATTTATTTTTTTCTGATCAATGAAAAATTATTAGTTCAACAATAGACATAGGTATGTTGATCATAAAGCAACATGTCTAATACACTAACTGGAGGAGACAACACTTCCTTTGCTTAAATCAATTATTTTAAAATACAAAACCTGTTTGCTAAATTTGGTATTTTTCTTATATTTCCAACACATTCAAGATAGCTTCATGAAGACTAAAGAAAAAATATAAAATATTTTGTGCATTTTAGTTTCTAAATGTAGTTTGACACTAAGATGTATCAACATCTAGAAAAATAAAATGCTTCGTACAGAATCTCTAACAGTAAAAAAAAAAATCTGAATGTATGAAAAATTACCCGATTGTTTTAATAAGTGTGTGTAGATAAAGGATATCTTTCTACTTAGGGAAAAAATACCAACTTCAGTATAAAGCATATCTTTTGCTGCAAGTTAACTTGTGCTATTAGTTATCAATCACTGAGAATCAACATTTCTTGAATAAATGCAAATCAAGATTAAAAATCTATTATTTAAATCAAGGCTTCCTGCTTGCTAATTTAAATTAAGATTAAAATCAGTACTTTACAATCACTTTGGTTTAAATCAATCCACTCTGTCTTACATTCTAAAGAACTTCCTGCCATTCATATTTTTTCTGCTTTGTCTTTTTTGCATTGCTTCATACTAAATCCCATTAAAGAAAGGAGTCAAAATCTAAAACGCAAATCAACTACATGTAAATTCATTACATATTTCTATCACAAAAGAAAAATCTGTTTTAAGGGTTAATGAAAAAATGTTTAAATAGGAGATATATTCAAGATCAGCAGGGGAAAAACTTCTGTTGAACTTCAAACTTAGAGAAGTAGCCTGTTTTATATGCTCTCTGCTGAACTTGAAAAGAATATACAAAAGGCACAGACAAAGATGAAAAGAATGCAATCAATACAGCTCAATTTCTCTGCTATAATCTTATCCCCCAGAATATGCCTGAGCTAATTAAAAGTGAAAGCTCCGTTTGTGATCAGAGGTGTAACTGAAGCGTGAAATTCACAGCAAAGATAAGTTAGCACTTTGAAATAAAAGCATTACCATCTACCTGACCTACTCTACCTGAACATCCACTGAGGAGTATAGTCTGTGTCCTTCTGTACCAATGGCTTTTAACAGGCCTTTTAAACCTGGTTAAAAAGCAGAACAAAACCAGGAAGTTCCTGTGGAAGCATGTGGCAGTAAAAAATAAATAAATAAAATAAAATTTACTTTTATGTAATATAACCATTTAGATTAGGCATTCCACAAGTTCAAATGAAGAGTTTCAAAAGCTATAAGAAATCATTAAAGGTTCAATATCATAAAAGACACCAAAATAATTTAAGGATGTTGCCCTATATTAAAGTGGAAAAGAATTAATTTTGTATTAGTGGGACCTTCTGACAGGTTTGCATCTTTCAAAGGGATGTTCTACTTATTAATTTAACAAATTAATTCCTGGAGTGAAAAAACAGATTTTAATCACTAAAGATCTGACCAAGAATAAATACTAAATTAGTTCCGTGTTTAGGTATAATAGAAGTTGTGCCAGGATTGATGGTAGTCTGGCAAAGTTTAGAATAATTGAATAGGATGGTTCGGATAGAGATGATCCTACTTAGGGCAGGGGGTGGGACTAGGTGACCTCTGGAGGTTCCATCCAGCCCTACTTCTCTATCACACTACTCTGCTGAATAAAGAATTATCAAAATTTTCTAGTAGAAAAAAGGAACACACAATCTTTTAAATACATTTTTAAAAAGAATTATATTAAGACCTAACAACTCTTTCCAAAAAGTTACAGAAAGAACTATTAAGCATGACATGCAAGGAAAAGATGGAATGCCATTTCCATCATGCGAGCCAAATGGGCAAATCTATATTCAGAAACAGTTCTTGCAATACTCTAATTTGATGCATTAGGATTCAACCTGAGATGTTCAGAGCTCTTGCCTAGGGACACACTAACATTAGACTCTTACAAGAGAAACAGGTAAAAATAATTAAATTATTAGTAGATTTTTTCAGAGCATTTTGCAAACATGAAGAACACGAACGCACTCACAAATTTCATCCTACTATAGCACTCAGCACTTATATCCATGGGCCCATTTTCCCACAGCATCACTCCCTTTTGTTCCACTCCACTGACACAAACATATTTTTAATTCAACAGAGATTTAATTCCAATATGTAAATTTGTTTACATGCATAAATATTTTCTGATTTTAGCCATAAGAATGAAGTAAACTCAACTGACTTTCTAAGTGAAGTAAATTAATATACTGCCTACAAGTGTATCAGACTAAAATATTTTGCTAAAGGGGAGGTACATCTAAGAAAATAACTTTCAATCTAGATTACATGTATTGCAGAAAGTTCACAGCAAACATCTAAAGTAGGGTGGAAACTGGCATGGGCAGTCTCTGTGTGGCATGTGCCAGCTTGGGGAGGGGACAGGTAGCAAAAAGCAGAGCAGCAGATGGGGCAGGGAGCACATCACAGGAACAGAAAGGAAAGCAGCAGATCAGACAGGGAAAAGGGATTTGAGTGGCACTCAGACAGGGCACAAGGCTTAATTTGTGGCATACCTACCAAAAAGGTTGGACATAACAATCTAGCGTACGTAAAAGGAAAGAATGCAAAAGCAGAAGGGAAAGGGAAAATGGAAGGGGGAAAAAAGGAACAAGAACTCTGCAGTCTCCCATGTTGTTAGAGCCATGGGGTCCTTCTGCCATGCAGGACATACCACCTTACCCTGCCCCCCAGAGGCTAAGGCAGGAACTAGAAGCTGAAGGAGGAAAGGGGAACTAGGAGACCAGGCCAGAGGCAGCAGCCAGAGAAGTGAGGGGGCATAGTGATCAAAGATCTGTGAAGGAAGTGATGCCCAGGTAGGAGCACTTTGGGAGGGACAGGGTACAAGTCAGACTGCTCTACTGTAATTAATTAGATTAAATATAAGACTGAGAATATTTCTAATAAAAGTAATTCTTTAATATTACTGGTAACATAGGAGCTAGCAATGGGTATTCGCAAATATCATTCATCTATCTCCCTACTGAATCCCAGTGCATATGCAATTACAATGATACAACACTTCCAGGTTCTAACAGAATCCATCCAACTCTGATTACTGAAATCTGATCCCCTTTCCCACCCCTGTTGTTACACTAACTTTGAAAAATACTTAAACTATAATCTGTATCAATTCTAAACATATGTTTTCCTATCCTCCATTAAAATAGCCCTGCATTTGAGATTAAACCAATATGAAGTACTGTAAATATTAGTAATGGGTCTCCCATGCTTTAGAACTCAAGCTAAAAGCCTTTGGAGACAATGGCCAGGTGATTAAAACTTTACAAATTACTAGACTTGGTACTTTGAGAAATGATATTTTACACAAATACAGATAACAGCTCCATTACACTTTGTTCAATACAAGAATTTCAGCTACACACACAGTAAAATCTATAGTCAAATGATTATTTTCTCTGTTTCAAAGATAATTATCTGTTTAGTTTGAATTCTCTTTAAAAATACATATTTGGGATTGAAAAAAAATATCACGAATGATCTTCAATAAATATGAGTTAACAGATCTCTGAAACTGAATGAAATATGAATCTTGTGTGAAGGGACGAGCCCAATTCCCTTTACTTTTCTATGGAAAGACGTGATGAAAATGGAGCAAAAATGAGATCTTAATTCCAAAGTTAATTTTTGGTCCCTACTGTTAACAACCTTGAAGTTAAACAACCTAATTTACACAATATTACCAATGTCTAAATACTCAAAATTCACAACTGCTTTTACATGCCTTATTTGCTATGCAGAGCAGTAGCAGAAAATTATATATTATACAATGTTCCTACCAATAACTGTTCTTGGTCTTCCTTGGCATCCTTGTAAGAGGAGGGTCCAGGCAACCAAGATGGTAATGGAGTTTACAAGTATCGCACAGTAACAGGAGATGCTGATCATGATTCTTCTTGCAAATTCCACAACTTTGAATGAACGTTGCAAAAAAGTAATGAAATTACATTTCAGATGGTGAGGCATAAACTATACATTACTGTATTTCTTAGTTACAACAGAAGTTCAGGGAATGCAGTAGTTGTTAATGATGATGTACAATTTTTACAGTGTACATTAATTTAACTTCAAGATTGCATTTTAAGAAGCTTATAACTGAGCATCCTAAAAATATTAATGGCACATCATATAATGACCTTTTAAATATGATGTTCTCTTCTTGACATCTACCATTCTCTTTAAATTTATATTCAAGTAAAATAGGATTGCAGTTACCCTTTTGGTGCTAGAATCCAGAGACCCCCAACACCAAGCACATGAGGGAAAAGGAACTAAAGAAACTAACTCCATTCTGGATAGTAATGCAGAAAATGTTACCACTACTATTAACCATTTATGTATTTCAGTAACGCTAAAGTGCCATAAATAAGGTCACATGCCCATTATACTGGACAATGTACAAATAGAGGTTTTGAGGGTTTTTTAAATTGAGCTACTGTCCCTGTACTGTCATCTTAGTCTGGCTGTTTCAAACATATCAAATTTGTATTAATCAATCACATAATGTAAAGAAACAAAAATATGTAGGTAGAGAAAAATAAAAATAAGTCTGTTCACAGCAGCTTGAAGATCTGTCATAAGGATGAGGAGTAAAAATCCTCAAACAGTATTTTGTACACCAGGTCAGTAAGACCATACGAAAACACTGGTAGCAAACTCACCACAGCTATATAGGCTGCTAAGTTCTAAGGACCAGAACTTGGATTTTAAATTTCCATATCAGATATAACAGATCTGATAAATGAGCTATAGAGGGTCACTTCTCCTTTAAAGCACCACTGTCAATTAAGAGAAAGAACTGCAAATATGTGAGCCAAAATAAAGAACTGACTTGGCTTCTTAGCCTGGAAATTATTGCAGTATATCTTGGTTATCACCAACCCAAGCTGGACGTGAAGGTGAGGCATATTTTCCTCAATTTCTGTGAAACATACATTTCAATTATAAGAGTTAACCCATTTATATTACATAGTAAACCTAATTCTATTATACAGACCCTCCATTCTACTTGCCTATAAAGAACTGCTGGAAGTGCAGATGCCTTTTGTGTTCCTCCTTCTTTTTTACTTGGTTTCCTCTCCTTGGGTGCTCGCAAAATTGCTGGTATGTTCAATTTCTATTGGATATGAACAAATGCAGTTTTATCTATGTTTTAGGGAGGAGGATTACAGTATACACCATCCCCTCATTTACCACTTCACAATCAGTTAAGTTTGGCCACACGGAGGATGTTAGGATTACAAGAAAAAAAAAAACTGCTTAGCCAGCTATTTTTGCAGAAAAGAATTTTGTTTCAAAACTAATGTCAAGAAAACAAAAATCATACTAACATTTTTCAATGTAAACTGAAAAAAAAAATGCAAACAGTAAAGTGCTGGCATTTTCACTTTTCCTCCCAAGCTTTAAGAGACAGACAAGGACAAGTTGGTTTAGAAAGCTAAAAGAAAGAAAAAAGAAAAAACCCACTGCATTTGACAAAAGAATATTGGAGGCAGTTTATTTTCCTCAGCATCCCTGCTACATTGGTGCTCCGTAGGTTAATTAGAAAAATTATCTTATTGGACCAAACTCTCCACAAAGCAGACGAGATTCTCTTCGGGTTTCTACTAATCTGCAGTATGCTAGCTTCTCAGACAGCAACCATCTATCAAAGTCATTTCTCGGCGGCCCTGTGGACCTGCATCTGTTCAACCAACTGGAAAAAAAGTGTCATGCAAGCTGTGCAGATGAATTCTACTTTTACTTTTGCTTCTTTTTTATTTTAATTTAGTAATGTTTACACTGGGAAATGCATTTTGAACTTTTCCTTTTTAAAACAAGTATTTTAAAAAAGTAAAAAGATTGTTTCTGTCAAATCAGGTTCAACTTATGAAGAGAGGTTTTGTTTTTTATGTGGGTTTTTTTATTATTTTTTGTAAACGACAAGCTTATAAAGTAGAACCAGAGGGAAAAAAAAAAAAATCAGCCTGAAGAGCCAATAGGATTAAGCCACAAACACACCACAGTGGATTTCAATGCTAAATTTCATTTTAAGCACAACAGTACAAGAAAAGCAGTACCAAAGGCTATAAAAAATTGTTGGCTATAAGATTCAACTACTGTATTTACCTCAATCCAAGATGCTTAGAATTTAGGATGACCCTCCCCCCGCTTAATTAGATTCTATATACATGGAAAATTATGAGTGTGTTGTTACTATGTAAAGAATCTAACTAGTAGAAGGTCATCCTGAATTCATCTCTCCTCCTCTTTCCCCCCCGCCACCCCCAGCACTGTTGTGGTGGAGAAAGCAGCAATAGAAGGCAAGGGGCCATATCCCCACCCCTTGCCCTGCCTGCCTGCCCTGCTTGCCCCCCTGTGACTACCTCCCCACAACTTGATCCCCTTGGTGTCTACCCCCCCATGTACTAGTACCCACCTTCTGCTGCCTGCCCCCTCATCCCAATTCAACTCATATCCTTGCCCCCCTGCCCTCCCATGCCTGTGCCTGACCCTTTTGGCTGCCCCTCCTATGCGACCCCTCCCCACCACCTTCTACTGCAGCTCTGCTCTGGCTCAAGGGCAGTAAGCTGTAGCAACCCCAGCCTGGCCTGGGAAAAGAAATGGCAACTCTCACCCAGGCTGGACCACAGCCAAAGTAGAAGGTAAGGGGGAGGAAAAGTAGAAGGTAAGGGGGAGGAGTGAAGGGGGCAGAGGAAGAGAACACAACCTGCAGTCTCCCCCAGCTACAATTTCCCTCCCCAACCAAAACAGTCATCCTGGCCTGAGGCAGGCAATGGCGCAGCTTCAGCTTCATCCCTGGGCCTGGGGCCAAAGCTGGAGCTGAGCTGCTCCCTGCCTCTGGGCAGTACTTAAATCCAAGACAAGACTTCTCCCCCACTCCCATGCTTACTGGGGGAAAAAAACCTTGTCTTGGATTCAAATATGGTGTATGATGTCCTTTTATTCATATCCTGTAAAAACATTGATTCCTCACAATATTTATTCTCCACAATTCCCAGGAAAGCAATAGCATGTCAATTTCCAATGTATTATTTCTTGAAAATGGCTGTTATCTGGGTGCTTCCCAGGGGGTGTGGGAGGTACTAATATAGAGACCTATTAAATGTTTCTTTAAAAAAAAACAAAAAACCCAAAAAACAAAATAAACAAAAAAACAGCCATCTACATACTGATGAATACATTCTCGGAGTAAAAACAATATAGGTTCTGAGGAGTTCCTTCAACCTTCTTTAAAACCATGATGGGAATAGCTACATCTTTGACTAAGTAAATGTCCATTGCCATATTGCATGCTGAACTTAAGTGACTTTCAAAGAAACATGTTCAAAGAATCTGTATGTTTTTTGTTTTTGTAATACCATAGGCCTATGAAACAGTGTATGCTGAAATGTGCAAACATTGTTGAAATAATCAAAACCTTCTCATATCACTGATATTGTGCATTCATGTCTAAAAATAAGTAGTAAATCTTTTTCTCTACACAATTAAACACTGCTGCAAATGATGTGCAGTTTTAGACATGTACACTTTATAAAGTGTTCATAAACAGTCACTACAAACCCAAGCAATCATACTGGTTGAAACCTACAGTTACTAAAGAAGTGAAAAAAATACAGTAAGATTAACTCATGCTTCAAGTTTAGCTTCATCACAAATGACAGGTCAATCAGTTACAGCAAATGAAAGAATTTTGCAAACAAGATAGCTATTACAACAACAAAATTAAGCCACAGGTTCCCAGTGGGTGACTTGTAGAGCTCTAGATATATTTCAATCAGGAATCATTATCCCTTGAGTATGCTTGGATTTGATCAAATTGATTTTTCTCAACTGCAAAAAGTGACAGATACAAACAGAAAAATCTATTCGCAGAATATCATGGCTGCCTGTAAAGTGAAAAAAGAAAAAGGGAAAAACAAACCTGGCCAATGATTCTACCCAATAGAGCCCAGATTCCTTGTCCTTCATTTCGTAGCTTTCCATTCATATTTTGTAGTTCTTCCAAAGACTCGCACAGCTGAAATGTAAAAAGCCCTCTGGTTAAAGTTTATTCACTGAAGTTACTCAACATTTACTATCTACAGGAGGTGTTTTACCTGTAACTTTTATGAATTAGACAATTAAAAAAAAATAGAACTCAATAGTCATGTCAATATCACTGAGATCAATGGAATTATTCAGCCATTTAACAGCACTAAAAAGAAAACCTGAGCAGCCATCTGTTTTGAGAAAGCAGATTGAAGTAATTCAGCATAAGGTTCTACAAGTACAATCAGAAAGCAAGATTAAAATATGCTAATGCCTCATACGAGTTGAATATACTACTTCTAGCTGCAAAGTTATGACAAGTTTTTCTATACCGGAAATCAAGTTTGGTCCCCTCCTCTACTTCCAAAATAAATGCAATCTTAAAAAAAACGGCAATGTTAGGAGAAAGGAGTAGTTTTAAAAGTAATTCTCAGTTATAATACTGTATCACTTTTTAAATTAACTGCATTCCTCAAACAGGTATTACCTTTACACAATTTGTTTCTTTTTAAAACATGATTCAAACGGCATGGTTTCATAAATTTTAACCCGCTTAATACAGAGACCATAAGTATTAGACCATTCTGTAAAAATGGATATAGTCTACTGAAAAATTATAACTGTTTCTGTTTCAGAGCATGAAGTAAACAATGGGCCCCCAAACTTAGGTAAAAATCACATTCCATACCAAAGGAATTAAATACAACTATTTTCGCTAAGAAGAGAAAGTGCAATTACTCAAAAACAAGATCAGGAATGAGACAAATCAAGTTACAATAACCAAAAAAAAGGCACAAACAAAAATAAACTACAATAAAAGAGGCCTCAAACCCTGGAAGTGGTTCCATGCAAAAAGTCTATGCCCATTCAGGACCCTACTAGAGCTATAAAGCCATTTGAAGGATCAGGGAGCAAGTCAACATTTTTTAAAATGTTTTAATTATAGTTACATACGAGATATAAGGAAGATATTTGAAGTATAAATTTTTACCCTGCTATTTCACTTTTCAACAATTTTTGTACATTACATTTTTTTAAAAAAAAGCCCTCTGGATAGCAAAACACTATCAGTAAACAACATTCAATACACTGTTGTATGCATTAGACTTCTTACCTTATTATATTCCACATGAAGTTTTTCTTGCTCATTTTCCAATTTATCCTTAATATTCTTTTGTTCGGTCATATTTTCCTGGATCTGAATCATGCGCATATTTCGCTCTATCACAAACAAAATCCAATAGTCTCTAGCTTCAATTGGATTTTTAAGGATTATACATTTGTTAAAAGAAGTGCTACATATTAAAGTGTTAAGCAAAGAAAGTTAAAATGTAAAATTATTATAATACAAATACAGAGGTAGTCAAATGACAACCCACAAGCTTATTAAATACCCTAGGAACAGAATAAAACAAAAATACAGTTCAGCCTGTCCTTTTGATGCATGGGGAAGTTTATAGTCCACATTGGTCTGAGACAAAAAACTGGAAGAAAGTGTTTAGACCTGCATAAGGGAGCTCCTAAAGCCTTTGCTCTTGAGAGAGGACTTAAGGTCAAGAGGAAAAGCATGTACAAAGAAGAAAGAGAAAGATGCCAACTAGCTACCTTCCACTCCAACAAAAACATAGTTCCCATTCTCCTCCCTACATTTGAAGGTATTTGTGTTACCAAAAAAAAAGTTAAGAGGTCAAACATTTTTATTCTTTGAAATGCTGAACTCTGTAGTCATTTGAATACAAAATCAGTTAGCTTTTTCTTCAGTGAGGAAAGGAAAAAGAATGAGAATATTTGCATAAATGTAAAGCTGATTGTTATAACTGAAGCCTTCCTATTTTTCTTTCATCAAATATTTTCTTAAAAATCAATTTCATAAAGCCCAAAGCATATGTACAGAATTTCCTAAATAATTTTAGAAATGTGACTATCAGGTTCTCCTCCTTACCAAGATAATAATTCACAAAATCAGCAGTGAGAGCTGGCTGCTTATGTTTCCTCCTTCCATCCACACTGGAACTGGTATCTGAAGTGTCCACAGGAAAAATGTCTGTACTGATGCCCATTAATTCAGCTTTACGCATCAGTTTACGTATGGCCGAAGCGCTGCTAGTGAGCGGTCGTGGCAGCTTCTCCCTTGGAACCCAAGCCTGAGGCCTCGTGGTGCGAGCCAGTTCTGCCTTAGCACGATACTGCTGTAGTCTAGCATTGATTCGAGCCTATAATCAAAATCCCATAAATCAAAACGCAATAGAAAACAAAGTAATTTATATTTGCTGGCATAATCTCCCTTGGAAATAAGTATACCATAGGCATTACTTTTAATATGAAATATCACAGTCTAATCAGTATTTTCCTCATTTTAGGATGTGGTACTCAAGAGGGAAAGACACAAATGGATATATATTTGATTTCACTTCCAAACTTTACAGTTCAGCAGCAGGATATTTTCTTAAACTTAGGTTAAAAATTCATTCTCAGTAAGAGAATTGTTATCAGTCACAGCTCTCTGCCTTCAACAAAAGTATTAATATAAATCTGCCAGCTCCCAACAATCACCTGTAGCAACAGTCATATCTAGGTTAAATGGTATTATGCTCACAAGTGGATAAAATCTGTTGCTTGTGCTTCAGAAAACAGATATACATATTGCATAGCATAAATACTGACACCTTTGCCCAGTTCTTTCATAAAAAAAACTCCTTCCACAGTGCCATACCGCTTTATAAATTAGTATACT